GTGGCATCACAGCTCACAGCAACCTCCAACTCTAGGGCTTCAGCCATTCTTTTGCCTCAGCCTCCTAAGTAGCTGGGACTACAGGCACTCGCCACAATGCCTGACTATTTTTGGACCCAGTTGTCATTGTTGTTTAGCTGGCCCAGGCCGGTTTCGAACCCACCACCCTCAGTGTATGTAGCTGGTGCTATTAACCACTGTGCTATGGGTGCTGAGCCCACTCGATTGTTCTTATTACCTTTGCGACCTAGTCGTAAACATGGACAAAGCCTTGTGCTCAATGCATCATTGTTTATAATAATAAAAAATGTAGGCTGGGCCCAGTGGCTCATGCCTGTAATCCTAGCACTCTGGGAGGCCAAGGTGGGTGGACTGCCTGAGCTCAGGAGTTCCAGACCAGCCTGAGCAAGAAGACCCATATCTACTAAAAATAGAAAAACTAGCTGAGCATGGTGGTACACATCTGTAGTCCCAGCTACTCAGGAGGCTGAGGCAGGAGGATCACTTAAGCCTAAGAGTTTGAGGTTGCTGTGAGCTGTAATGATGCCATGGCACCCTACCCAGCATGATGGACTGAAACTTGGTCTCAAAAAATAAAAAATAAAAAACTAAAACAATCTAAAAACCCCAAATTAGACGAGTGATTAAGCAAATATGCTGTATAGCCAGTTCTAAAAGATAATGAAACCAGTGAAAATTCTGGTTGTGAAACTGTATAATGCTTTCAAATGCTTATGCTATAGTAAGTAAAAAATAGTCTATAAAATTACACATATGACATATTTACAACTACGTAAGACAAAACCTTATAATAAATACGGGGGTGGGGGAAGATTGACAGGAAGTATATTAAACTGTACCAGGATGAGTGAATGTGAGGTAATTTTTAGCTTCCTCTATTTTTCAAAGTGTTTTATACAGTTATGTGATTTTTAAAGATATATGAAATATTAAAAATTTCTTAACATTGTTTTCTGAGTATAATTTTCACTAAGCCTTAGGGTTATAGAAGTGTAGTTTCTGTTTATTTTATTTTTTTGGCAGTTTTTGGCTGGGGCTGGATTTGAACCGGCCACCTCTGATACTATGTTTCCCCGAAAATAAGACCTACCCAAAAAATAAGCCCCTAGCTGGATTTCTATGCATTTGTTAAATATAAGCCCTACCCCTGATAAGACGTAGTGATGGGCGTGGCTATGCAGCATATCTGCATAGCCCTGCCATGCATTTCGGCACAGAGACGTCCCCTGAAAATAAGACCTAGTGTGTCGTCTTAAGAAAAAATAAATATAAGACAGAATCTTATTTTCAGGGAAATACGGTACATGGGGCCGGCACCCTACTCCTTTGAGCCACAGGCGCCACCCTGTTTCTGTAATTTATTTTATTATTGTGTTCAGAAAAGAGGATCAGAGGGAACTAGAGTAGGCCAAATAATTATTTTTTTCCCAAATAACTTTGTAAATTATTAATAGTTGGTTCTATGGACGCGTCCATGTAGCAAGCTTGGCTTTTCCGTATTTAGGACAGGTTATCTAATGTTGACACTCCAGTTTCTCACCAGCTTTCCTGTGCTGGCTGTGAATGTTCTAGCTGACCCCGGGTCAGGGAAGCCACCAAGGTCAAAGAAGCCGAAAGTCAGGGTCTGTCCAGTCAGTAAGAGTGGGCTCAGTATCTGCGGCGGGCTGGATGAACTTGCTGTAAGCCCGAGTCTGTCTTTAACAAAATGCTTCATTCTCAGTCTTTCTCCTCCTAAAACCATCCTCTGAACATGCCCCACTCTCTCTCTGCATTCAACAAACCTTCTCAACTCTTACTGTGAGCCCGGGGCTATCCCAGGAGCTGCAAACAGAGGGATGTGACTCTCCCAGACTCTGCCTTGAAAGAATCTAGTCCCAGGACCACAGTGGGGATGACAGTCAACATGACCACAGGGTAACAGGACAGAAATCACGAAGGAGTCTCAGGGAAGGGCACCGTGGATCACAGCAACGCCACGAGGGAGGGGGTGCAACCCATGGAGGTCTGGAGTGAGCAACCCTGTGCCAGGAAGGAGAGGGGTTGGCGTAAGGGCATCCCAGGCCAGAGAACAGCAGGGAACAACACACAAGTTGCAAAAACACCATCAGGGCATATGTGTTGCGGGGGAAGGCTGTGAAAATCGCCAGTGGGGCTGATTTCCAGGGGGGTTCAGTCGGGAACAGGGCAGATCGGGAGGCGTCCGCATGTGGAGAGTCCATGCTAAGGCGTTTGGCATGAGTCTCGTCGGGTAATAGTCAGTGGAAGCTTCGAAGCAGGAGACACATGCTCAGATTTTATTTTAGGAAGATAATGCTGGTAGCAGTGTGGAGGATGAGCTCATTTGAGGGGTGTCAGTGGTGGCAGGGATACAAATGAGGGGGTGGCTGCAGCAGTCTGGGTCTTTTTAAGGCCTTGCAGTGAGAAGAGGTGAGGAACCGGAGCAGGGAGTGGCCACTGAGGCCGAGGTGACGGCTCTGGGTGACTTGTTGAATTACTGGGGGGTCTGGGGTTATGAGGAATCGAGGATGGCTGGATGGCCGGTGGCTTTTAACTAAGATAGGCAATTTCAGAGACACGGGTCTGGTCTGATAGAGGATGAGGAAAGGTAATGAGCAGCTGAGTAAAGATGCCGGGGGTGGGGTGGGGGTATGCAGGCAGGTGAATAGAGAGGTCTGGTCCTCAGAAAAGTTTCACACTGGAGCTAATAATCAGGAAGGGGACAGCATAGTAGCGTGCAACACCCCAGAAATGGATAAGTCATCCTGGTGAACCAAACAACAGAATTCTTGGAAATAATAACCCATCAAAACAGTCCACTAAATTAGATTTGACAGAGAGCTGTCTGAGGGTTTATGGAGATTCTAAACCACACGAACAGTGTTTTCTTTTCCATATCCACGACTGCCGGGGTTCAGTTCAAGATTTTTGATTTGTTTTTGCTGACTCTGGACAGGCAGTGGTATGGAGTGAATAGGAGTCTTTGGAATTGGACAGAAATGGATTCCTGTCCCAGCTCCCTGATCTGGGATGAAGCAGTTAAACCTCTCTGACCCTAATTTCCTACACTACAAAAAGGGGGGGAATCACATCTGACACTCAGAATTGTAGGCTTACCACCTGGTAGATGGCTGGTTGGTAATATAGAAGCTATAACCTCAGTCCTATGGTACATTATAAATACTAAACCAAAAGGCTTCTCTTGTAAAGACACTCCGTTATTAGAATCTTTAGGCCCTCCCTATGGTATTTTAAGCCAAAATGTATGCTAACTAATGTTTGAGCTGGCTCTGGCGTCTCAATTATTAAAAAGTACACCAGAGGGTGGCGCCTGTAGCTCAGCGGCTAAGGCGCCAGCCACATACACCAGAGCTGGCAGGTTTGAATCCAGCCGGGGCCTGCCAAACAATGACAACTACAACTAAAAAAAATAGCTGGGTGTTGTGGCAGGCAACTGTAGTCCCAGCTACTTGGGAGGCTGAGGCAAGAGAATCACTTAAGCCCAAGAATTGGAAATTGCTATGAGCTGTGATGCCACAGCACTCTACCCAGAGTGACAGCTTGAGGCTCTGTAAATAAAAAAAAGCACACTAGAATGTTCTAAGTGATGGGGCTTATCTTTCTTTCCATTGTGATTTTTAAAAAGATAACTAGTGTACAAATCACAAACGCTAGATGAGCTCGAGTTCCCAAACACGCATTATTATTTTCAGAATCATCTAATACAGAGACAGTGGAATGAATCCAAGTAACAATTTTATTATAGTTTACAGCACAATGTTTACACATCGTTTAGTGGTTTTGACAGTGCTACGTTTGAGCAGACTTTAAATGAATCCACGACAAGTTAATATATTCAAAGTAAAATATATACAGTAAAACAATCGGCATCCAGATGTTCAGAATCATGCAGATAGGGGTGGGCTAGTTGGTGTTGTCGCTGGGTACCTTGTCTGTATGAAGAATTCTCTAGTAAATACCAGTTCTGTTCCTCATTCCCACATAACTCACCACAATCAGAGTTCTAAACATGTGCATACAAAATAAACCTGCTTTTAAAGCCACATCAGTACAAAATGTCAATGGATAAGCTTATCGTCAAATTGACGACTGAAAACAGACAGTATCGGCACCTGATCTAAAGGCAAGGCTATTTCATTTATTAAAACACCAACAGGAGAGATTAATCAACAGAGCAACTAATATGTTAATCTTAATATAAGACACTGAGAGAACATAAAAATAATGCATAAATACCACTCCACTGAGCCAGGGTTGTACAGACAACACGAGTTTCTACCTGGCAAACAATACTTTAAATATTTGTCTATAAAAAAATAGTATACTGGGACATACAGAGGAAAGGGAGAAATGTGAATTTATGCATCTTATTCCACAATTTAAAATAAATAGCAAACTGGTAATATTAAGCTAAGTGACAATGACTTCACTGCTGGGCACCAAACAGGCAATACAGCTATTCACGGTAATTCACACTGCTCCTCAGGAGTTTCCAGCAGAGGGCCAGCCCGACAACCCCCTCGCATATCACATAGGATGGGGTGCCCCTCCGCTGCTGAAAGCAGCCCTGAAGAGAGAACATGGCAAAGGCATAGAGAAAAAGTTGAATTTTTTTGAAAAAAGTGAATGATATCAAAATACTTCTCCATCACTGGTAAACCAAGCTAGGTCAAGTATATACCCCAAAGCAGCACTGAATTCAGAGTCAGAGGTTGGCAGAAAAGTTTGGAAAACTGCAGCTTTTAAAAATTGGCAATTTCTCCTCGCTTAATAAAACGATCAGAAGAGGTACGATGTTTGTTCGTCTGTGGAATGTTGACCGCTTGCTGCACAAATTCACATGAATGAGGAAGTGCAGAGGTGTGTTTCCATGAAACCTTTTTTAAAAATTTACAAAAAACTAAAGTTCCTATTTAAAAAATAACCATGTTATGCCCAGATGAAACAGGGTGAAAAGTAGTGTAAGTTCACGTCCATGATTCTTTACACAGCAAATGGGAAAGTGATAGAAACAATTTTTTTTTTTTTTCTTAAAAAGGAAGCCTTGTTATTGCACTGACTTAACAACTGGACCTAGTAATTTAGAAAAACCATGTAGTAAAATCTGTAAAATTAAAATACAAAATTCTGGTTTGTAAACATCAGCTGGCCAAGCCTATCCAGAGTCCTTCATGATAGTAGAATGGAATGAAAATTAATTCACTACCTTATTTATTTGCTGTGAGGGGGAAGATTCCGGAACACAGCTTTTATACTTTCACAGTAATTATTTTCGAAAGATATAAAGGAAGTCAGTGCAGTTGCCGCCTTCTTCTTTCCTTTTTTTTTTTCTTCTTTCCCTGTGCAATTTTCAGCTCCTACCCCACTCCCAAGTGCTATAATTGAAATAATACTGGTTTGGAGACCTGGTACAAGACCGGTCATAAGTGTCGCATAAAGTCCGTGGGACTCCGGTAAAGGTATTTCCAAATGGCGTAGTAATGCACTGCAGCTGCCGTGGCCACAAACATGTGCCAGATGGCGTGAGCAAACGGAATGATGCCATCGCTCTTGAAGAACACAACTCCCAGGCAATAAATTAAGCCTCCACAGGCAAGTTCGTGAAGTCCGTCGGTGTTGTTCTATCAACAGAGGGAAAAAAAAAGTAGAAAGGGTTTGACGTTACTCCGATGTGACAAGCTACAGAGGGAATGTAATTCCCCCTAAGGCTCTTGATTTTCTAGACAATGAAGAAGCTGTGTGAACAGAATCCCGATCTGTAAACATGAACCAGATATAAAAAAAAAAAAAAAAGCCTCTCACGTTGACCTGAATTACCCTTTGGATGGACATTTTTGATTTGACCGGGCGCTCACATTCTAGGTTCCACAGAAAAACACACATTCCGCTCACTTCCAGCACCGTCACGCAGACTGTAATCACAGCAAACCACGGAGGTTCATTTCAATCAAGTACAATCCTCAGTTTGTCTTTCAAAGCCTTCTTCCCTATTAAGCCAGACCCAAGCTGCTCCATTTATAATTTACATCTCGGCCATGGTTTTCACTTCCTTTTGCCCTTCTCAAACGCTGTTCTACACTGATAGCTTTTTTTTCTTTTTTTTTTTTTTTAATTTCTCTGCTTGTGTGAACTTCCAGCTTCTTTAAGGCCGACTCGGGGAAATCACAGCTAGATGTGACCTCTGAGATCATAGGTCACACAGTACAGAAGTACGAGGTATTTCCTAACCTAGATGTCTCAAGGCCTTTTTGCCATTAAGCCCGGGCATTTCTTAGCGGGAAGTTAAGGGCCTTGTGTGTTTTAGGACAAAAGGGAGAATTTTCTGAGGCTATTTTTGGTTTTTGAAGACCTAGGCCCATCTACGAGACGGTTTGTGAGAGCGAGGGGAGAGAACAGAAGCAGTGCTGACCCTGATGCAGTCAGCCCCCCCTCCAGATTCCTAGGGACTAGGAATAAAAGGAGACAGGTTCCACAGAGAGAGAGGAAACTGAGGGCCCTGAAGGGGATAGTGTGCGGTGTCCCAGAGGTCTGGGCATTGATGGCAGCAGCCTTGTACGGCAGGTCTCCATGGCCAAGCCCAGCAAACACAAAGAGAAGCTATAATTCAGTCACCTACTTTGAATAGGCCCCCTGGGGGCCTGCATGGTTGAGACCAGCAGTTCTCAACCTGTAGGTCGCAACCCACAGGAACTGTAGTAAAGGCTCACGGCATTAGGAAGGTTGAGAACCACCGGCCCAAACTAAAGCAGGGGTGACAACAGACATTCACGAGCTAAGGGCCAGGAGTGACCATCAATCTTATTGTCAAAGTTCATGTAAGTCCCCATGGCTTTGTGGATAGGGAAGGCGTCAACCCAATGTACTGATAGCAAATTTCTCCCTAACCTTAGTAAGAAGAGTCTGCAGCCAGATTTATTTTTATTTAAAAATAAAAACAAAAACAAAATACCTTACACATCTATAACTTTCT